TCTATCTATCTATCTATCTATCTATCTATCCATCATCCATCCATCTCTCTATCTATCTATCATCCATCCATCCATCCATCCATCTATCTATCTATTTATCTATCTATCTATCTATCCGAAGTTTCCCATATGCATACAGTATGTGTTACTGATGTGTTTCTGCAGTGTTTATGTAGTTACACAGGGCGTCACACCTGTGTCTGCTCACCTGTGCAGGTGTTGGCTTCACACCAGTGTGACAGATTAGATATGTCGCACATCAAAGCTAGTAATGAAAACCAAACACACTAAATCCTAACCTAACCAGACGTTACGTAACCGGCCCTTAAGTTTCCAGTGTCAAGAAAATCATTCCTGACTGTGAAATACTGTGACAAAATCACACAACATATTTCTAATTTAATACACAGCTTGTGCGTGTGTCTTACTTTCCGTCTGCCAAGTTGACCCCTCTGAAGAGCGGGTAGTCCTCCGGGCCAGGTTTGCCCAGGTGATCCTCATACAGGAAGACAGGAGAGCGTCCCACTTCTAGACCGAGCTGTTGGATGCCCTGTTCGTTATACACCGACAGCAGGAAGGACTGACTGCCTTTCTTCGGCCTCACCGTCGCCAAGATAGAGAAGTCCTCAGGAAACACGGACGCTAAAGAGGGAGAGAGTGTTATTTTTGAAAATCCGAAGTGTTTTGGGGGGGCTTACTTGGCGCAAAATATTGAGGACAGTGTGTGACAGAGCATTACATCACGTCTATGAGCGGACAGATGCTGTCAGGTAACAAAGATAAAGTGTTTGACATGGATAAGAGCAGAATGGAAAACGGTTGGATCTCTGGCACATCTTTGGGAAACTGTAACAGTGTGTGCCTGTCTAACGGTGTTGATAAGAGTCTTGGGTCTACTGGGAGGGAGCAGAGAGAGCGAGAGAGATGGAGAGAGTAATGAGGAGAACAGCTGTTCCCTAAGAGACATTTTATTACTCAAATTCATCTAGCAGAGAGAGGTGGAGAGAACAAACAGAGAGAGAATCACAAG